AGCAGACTGATGAGATGACTTCTATGAGGAAAATTATCGTTGTCATGAGGTGTTAAAATTGATGGCAGCTTGACTGGTCATTTGGACGATCAAATCACTAGGTTGTCAACTAAATCATTGCTATGTTATAGTCCGAGAAACTAGTACGTCATAGTCATAAAATCGGCTCGACACACCCACTCGGTCAGGGGCAGCCACCCCTAAGCCGCATCAAAATGTTTGTGCACGCATGCATACCTGTGTGCATTGTATATCCTGTATTAGAATGCTAAAATGCCACAAGAAAGGAGATGAATATAGGAACCATTGCATCAATCGAACAACCATGATAAAACCGCGGTAGATGAATAGGGGTTCTCTCATCATATGTACGTGAACATTTATGAAACGTGAAAAAAAAAAGGGAGGAAGACTGTTGAACAAAAGGACTCGGATAAGAGTACAAAACAGGCAAGTGGAAGACGGCTAGATAACGAGGCAGACAAAAAAAAAACGTGGATGTAATAAAAAAATCATATCATCAACAAGATGAAGAAAGATAAGTAGTGGAAGGTAACCAACCAGGAGGACAAATAGGAGACATGTGTGTGTGACAAGCGTTCTAATCGTTTATCCCTATAAATTCCCCCATATTCTTGTCCGTCGGTCAGAGCTAGACCGGGTGAAACCCAGAGAGAGAGAGAGAGAGAGAGAAAGAGAGAGCAGATCATTCCACATTAATATTTATAGACAACGCATGTGGCAAAAAACAAAAAGACGGAATGATGACTCGTTTCATGGCTAAGCAGACTGTTGAGGTGACTTCTATGAGGAAAATCATCACTGTTATAAGGTGCCCTAATTGATGGTAGCTTGACTGGTCGTTGGGACGATCAAATCACGAATGAAAATGGTATTAATAACATCAATCACCTCCACATGTAGTCACCAGGCAGTGATACATGTACAGTCTACACGACGATATGCTTGAGGATGAGCGTTTTTATCCCATGACATCCATGCTCTTAGTACCTATGCATCTATTCGGTAATCAACCAATAGAATCACTCGTTGTTTTGTTCTCTTCTCTACCTACTTAATACTGTATTTTCTCTCCGAATGAACTTGAATCAGTTAATGGCAACAAAAATGGTTATGTGGAGTGCTGACAGTTGTCTTTGTTGCACAAAGCTGGAATCTTTCTCCCATTCGTCACCAGCCACGTCATCAGACAACCTCAAATGCAAAAAAAAAAACAGTTGCACAATGACCAATCAAGCTTCAAGACAACAATTGTGCCCATGTGGCAAGCAGACTGTGGAGTCCGACTTCGCTTTGTCCTTTAACAATACACAACTAAGGGAAGCAAAATGGGAATGAATCTTCCATTATAACACGAAAAGATACACATGTGGAGTTGCGATTCAAAAATCCTATGCTGGCAAAAGTGGAGGCGCATGGATGAAGGTTGCAATGAATGATGGCACTGTGGCACAGGAGCAGCGACTCGGATAGAGATTGGGGAAAAAATCATTATTGGTTAGGGACTCGGCTAAATTAGATCTGAGAAAAAAAGGTAAAGGCAATGTCTCGAAGACGGATAATCTCGCTGTAACGGGTGCTAACGGGCAATGAGAGGCTACATCAGCTGCTGACACCATCTCTACTGGAAATAGAGCACTTACACGCACTCACACACACACACACACACACACACACACACACACACACACACACACACACACACACACAGAGAGAGAGAGAG